CCCCCGATATCACTGTTATTTGGGGACTAAATGACACTTCATCTTTTGGCCTTGGATAAACTAGATATGTTCAGAGGGTCCCCCCCCCCTTTATTTTTGGCTCCTTTAACTCTATTTTTGTATCAAGGACCCACCTCACTAAAATAGTAAGGGGACGAAGGACGGAAGTGTCTCTTCATACTTGACAGAACGAGTCTACCCCTGGCTGCCCCGCAGCCATCACCTGGCCAGGGGATCTTAAGCAAGTCTCCACAGGGCTTCTGCAAGTCCTGGCTGCATCTCTGTGCAACTGAGGAAAAAATGTGTCTCTCTGGGGGAGAAGCAGCCCTGCTGGCTTAGCAAATGTAATCCCAGCTGGACTCCAGCCCCCCTGCCCCTCAGCCAGGGCACAACCTCCCTAGCTATTCACAGAGCCCTGTGCCTCTGTTTCAATTTATGTGAGGTGGGGCAAATATAAGTGTCCCACCAGATTCTTTGCCCTGATGAGGCTCAAATGACATCAGAACGGTTTATGAACAGCTTATTAAGAGGAGATGTGTGCTGCTCTGGTCCAATGGCACCTCACTCCCCGAACCTTCCACAAAATCCTTCTAATGAAAAGCAAAGACACCATTCACTCTTCTGAGATTGCCATTTGCCACTCTCCCACACCCAGAGAACTTGATCAACAGGCAGGACGGGCTCCATAGTGTCAGCCTGTGCAGGTGCACAGACCCAGCACTCAGAAAGGCCTCGAGCTTGCTTTAACGCTCTGATGTCACCATCTTGAACTTCTAAATCCATTTGGAACAAGGCCCCTACATTTTTATTTTGCATCGAGCCCTGAAAATTCTGTCGATGGTCCTGCCAGCAAGCCTTCAGCGGCACCAGATAGCTTTCTCACACCACACAAGAGATTTGGAAAGAAAAAAATGCTGAACATAAAGGCCCCCATCCTACTTAGAGCACGAGGCAGGATGGTGCATAGGACTGAGAGCATGGGCTTTAGGAGGCAAACCATGCTGGGCTTGCCTATATCCGCAAGTGTTCAGACACCTTCCTTACTTAACCTGCCTGATGTCCTTCTCTGTAAGTTTAGACTCCTAATGGCTACTCTTCTGGGTTAATAATGAAGAAAGGTCTGTAAACGAAGAAATTGTCTGGCATGTGGCAGGTGCTCAAGAGATGTAAGTCCCCTTCCCAGCATGCTTCAGAAAGAGAAACTTCAAGATGGGCTGTGTAATGGAGGGATCCCATAAGGCAGAGAGATGACTGGCGGCCCTAGAAGATCCCTTTGGCTCTAGGATTACATGAATCTCTATTAAGAAAGGCCTAGAAGTCAGCCCTCCTCTATTCTGTGGATATTACTCAGAACACTTTTGGTTGCAAGGGCAGAAACCCAACTTACTAACTTCGAGAAAGTCGTAGTTTATTAATGAAAATGGGAAGAGCTAGGAAACAGGCATTGCTGCGTCTGAGGATTTATACAGTGGTATTCAGCCTCTCTTTCTCTCTCCATATTTCCACTCTTTTTGTCTCTGCCTTGCTTCACTCTGAACTCATGTCCCTTCATGCAGAGGATAAAATGGCAACCAGCAGGCCTAGACTCACTCTTTCAGCTGAACAATCCCAGTCAGAAGACATCTCTTTCTCTATCTCAATATCAACCAAAGACAAGACTCTGATACTGCTTGGATTATACTCCTACTCCTGAACCAGTCACAGTTGCCAGAGTGGCAGGGTTTGTGCCCACCCAAGGGTGGGACAAGGGGGCTCAAGCCTCATGACTGACAGCCCCCATGAAAACACATAAAATGGGGGAAAGGGAAGCCCCCCACCAAAGGAATAGCAATGCCAGACAAATAAGTGCAATATGTCTACTGTGCTTTATGTGGTTTATTATGCCTTCCCAATGGGGGCCAAGGAAAACGAAAGGCGGGAGAGGGGAATTGGGTAGGTGGTGTAGACAGCAGCATGATCACTCCTTCATTGAAGGGTGGGAAATAAGTGACACGTGTCATCAAAGATAATCTCTGTGAGGAAAGGCAAAGAATTGCAAAAACACAGGGTAGGTTCAAAGCTAATAGTTGTGTCACTGCAATTAACCTCACATCTTTAAATTTTTAATAGTGATGCATTTATTTTTATGTTGCTTTTGTTTAGGCAACCAATATTGTTTTTCCATTTTAGTCCTAATAGAAAATTTCCTTTTAAAAATAACTTTAAGTAAAACCCAGCTAAGTCAGCTGAAAGAAAAATTGTAAGCAGATAATAATAACATAGACTTAGGTAGCTGTGGACAAATTAGTGCATCTATTATACCAATGACTGAAGTAAAAGGAGAAACCCTAACTTAGTATACGAACAGAACTTTCTCTCCCCGAGGAACAGTAAAAACCAGTAACTCTGCTACTTCTGGTTGGTAGGTCTCTGGCAAACTAAATGTTATGTCTCTCGTTGTGTGGATGGCAAAGCTTTAGCCCAGGTCACCAAATGGATGGATCTGTCATAAAATCTTAGAACCCTCAGCTTCTGCCTGGCAACACTTACTCCCTAGACATACTTGTGTCTCATGACAAGAGGGTAGAACCAGCATTCCAGGACATTGGCCCACTGTATTATTCTCTGTTTCAGAGGCAGTCACACAAAGGTAGGCTTGATGTCAAAATGTCTCAACCCAGAGATGGCCAGGCTGATTGTCCTTATGAACAGAGAGGCCCATTCTCAGTGGTCATCCAAGGCCAGCCGGCTCCAAGGAGTACCAGTCGTCTCTCTGGGGCCAGAGTTTCCCAAGCTGATTTCCGCATGTACCTATGTATAAAGTGGCAGCTGTTCCCTCATTTGGATGACTTCTTCATCTTCTAAATAGCTGCCAACATCAGCCAGAGATAATTCAAGAATGCCCATATTGTCCACTCACCTTTTCAATTATTTTCTCCAGGCCAAAGCGAGAAGTCATCAAGGTTTTGATGTGGATCAGGATGCCAAAATGCTGAACGAAGCCTGCAAAGGAATGGGTATGGAATCTATTTTGTTTTTAAATTTACTTTTGAAGTTGATTATATTTGATCTCTTGTCCAACTTTCCCATGATCTTAGGAAGATGACCTCCCACTGATCTTGTACATTCCGAACTAACCCAAGTTAATTACCTCTAGGGTTCTCTTTGTAAAAGATACCCAAACTATAATCAGATCCTAATGCTTTTCAAGGTCCAATAGGATAGTTAAAAACTGGATACTATGACATTGCATCTGACCTTAAGGTGGAAGAAACTTCATGAGAAGGGTAGTTATGCAATCCTAATGTCATCCAAGTCTCTCTGGTCCCTCTCATGAGAGGTGGTAGGGAATTAGGTCTGATGAAAGCTGGATTAGGGATCTGGAATGGCATCTAGAAGTAGATCGAGTAAACAGAAAACAGTGGCCGAGGTCAAGAATCAAGGGTCAAGGCCAGGGAAACTATTTACATCAATGCGTCAGGTAAGTGCATAGCCAAGAATAGGAGACTGAGAAAGAGATCAGGAATAAGGTAACCCCAGTAACAAGGTAAGATGAAGGGAAGAGCATCTAGGAATAAGACCATGAAGAAAGGCTCTGAGACCCAAGGAGATCACTGATGAAAAATTTCCTAGTCTGGGCTTTTAGTATATTCACAGGATCGATAACAATCATTATTAATTCCAGAACATTTTCACTGCCCCCAAACGAAACCCTATTTCTATTAGCATCCACTCCCCACTCCCCCCTCCCTTCAGGCCCAGGCAATCATAATCTACTTTCTGTCTCTATGGATTTGCCTATTCTGGACATTTCATCTAAAGGGAATCATGCAGTATGTGACCTTTTGTGTCTGGCTTCTTTCACTTGGCATATTGTTTTGCAAAAACAAGTGCTAGATTTTTACTTAGAAGTAAATCAGTGAAGATTTACTTTCCTAGGAATGGGTACTTGTGGTAGAGCAAATATGACCATAAATTCTTTGGGACTCCACAGAAAGAACTAAGTTCTAAGAAGACATATTTCGCTTCAACATAAGGAACTATCTGAATATAGAATAGTCTGTCTTGCCCAAGAAATGTTGGAGAAGTCCCAAGGGAGCTGGGGCTGGAGAAGACCCTGTAGGAGAGTGGTAAAAGGGATTTCTATATAGTAAGTGTTTTGGAATAAATCAGAGGGAGAGGGAGCTGGAAATGAAGGATGACAACTAGCTTGCTTGGTTTGGGGGGGGGGG